AGGCACGCGCCACCATGCCCAGCTAATTTTTTGTTTTTTTTTAGTAGAGACGGGGTTTCACCATGTTGACCAGGATGGTCTCGATCTCTTGACCTCGTGGTCCACCCGCCTCGGCCTCCCAAAGTGCTGGGATTACAGGCTTGAGCCACCGCGCCCGGCCTTCATGTCCTTTAAAATTGGTTCTTCTGCTCAAATGGATTGGCACAAGCAGATACTTCGCTGCATTTGAGTTGCGGCCTTCTTGTAGCATGTTGGTACATAAAGATTCTTTCATATTTTGGAGAATCAACTGTTTCCATTTAGATTGGTTGATATGATTATCATTAAAGTTTCTGAGGGATCCACATTATCCTTTTCTAGCAACCTGATGATCAGTTTTGAATTTTCTACTTTTATTAATACCGACCTGTGAGTTTAAGAAATACTTGCTGGGCACAGTGCCACTGCCTACAATTCTAGCTATTCTAGAGGCTGAGGCAGGAGGATCTCTTGAACTCAGGGTTTCAAGACCAGCCTAGGCAACACAGCAAGAACCTGTCTCTAAAAAAGTAAAAAGAAAATCTTATAAATTGGCGAGCATGGGCAACATGGTTGTGACTGAAGCCTAGAATACAGCAATGTAATAGCAAGACAGAAAACCTGGGCAGTTTGAGGTAGTAGTGATAGTCCATATATGGCCAAGAAGGATGTTTTCCTCAAGTTGTAAAATGCGGAATTTAGAAAGTAAATTAATATATTTTAAAGGATTAGTTGAGGTTTAACATATTTTATGGCTACGAAGGCAACAAGGACATTTTACGCATTGACACTGTGGTAATTTTAGGTGCATCAGAGAGTGTGGCGTGCCTGTGGTGGAGCCCTCCTTATTGGCTAAGCCAGCCACTGTTTTTGCAACTTAATAGGCTTCTGAGGAAAGGTCTAATGTGGATAAAACCTGCAGTTTATACCAGAGTAAATCAATAATTTCAACTTTGTTTTGGTGGTTTTGATGTTTTTTCTCTGAAAAGGAACTTGGGAAATGTGATTAATAAGGTCAGCTACTAGATTTAATTTTGTTTTTTATGGAAATATTTTTTCCTAGAAAATTTAATGGCCATGAATCTGATTGCAGAGATTATTTGCCATAACTAGACCTGTCCTCTGACAGGCAATTTAAACCACTTCCATTAAAATCTAGATAATCAGAAAGAATATTATGGAACATTACAAAAGAGAATTTACTTTCACATTTCATGTGAATTTACTTTCACATTTTATGTGAAAGTAAATTCAGATCTAGACTGTTTTAGTATTCCTGCCTCTCACCTCCAAAAGTCAGTGTACACAGTATCATCTTTTTATTGTCTTCGAAGCCCATGATTTAAAGGTGGAACTATTTCATTTTGAGGTCCTTTGGGTAACCAGTGTACCCTTGCATAGGAGTCAAGATAGATCCTTCACCAGGAGTGTTCATATATTCAGTAGCTTTATGGTGAGGTAGTTGAGTGTTCTTATCTTGAATAAGGAATATTAGACCAATTTAGAAATACTTTTGCCAGAGAGAATCCTTTAAGTTTTAGTACTTCGTGTGTATGAAATTCACGGTGTGTTTTACACATGACTAGATTTATTGAGCACCTACTGTTTGGCAGGCACTGTTCTAGGTACTAAAAATTCAGCAGTTTACAAAACAGATGTCTCTCGTCTCCTGAGAGGACAGTATCTTGGATATTCTGAAAAAGAGATAATAGCATACTTTGATCTTGTCTAAAAGAAGAAAAGCTTACTGTCTTAGGGAGTACACCATTATCTGATACAGCTTTGTATTTTCCAATTTATGACTCACTGCAAGCAGATACCTACCCGTGTAGTTACAAGGTCCTCAACTCTCTCAGCATCAGAAGATGCCTTGTGATTTTCCTAGCTTGCTCAAGTGCACATTCCAACATGAAGTCCTTTCAAGTAGACTTACTCAGTGTCCCCAGCCGTCGCTGTTGTTGTTGTTGTTGTTTCCAGCATCTTCCCCCTGGACTCAGTGCATTCTGAGTTCGTTGCACACACTGTGTGTATGTGCATGCGTGTGCACATGCAAGAACACATATGTGCTCCAGCTGGATTTTAAACTTCTTCAGGGGATCGTGGGCAGTCTTCAGCTTAGCACAGTGCTTTGTATGTGGCAGCATTTAGTTGTTGACTTCAAGCTACTGTCCTAAAATTGCTTAAAACCGTAGGAGTTCTTTTAAAAAGTATTCTATATGAAATTTGAAAAAACGCCTTGCATTTCTTGAGTCTGTCTTTTATGGTTGGAGTCAAACCACTGAGCATATAAAAACCTTTGCTTCTATTTTTTAAAATTGTAGATTGTGCTAATATGGAATTTCTCTGTAAGACTCTCATGCTGTATTGGGGTGAAGAGAATCACCCTTTCTAATCAGGCAAAATAATATAACTAAACTAATATGGCCATGTCTAACATCTACTTTTCATTTGAAGACGGTGTTAACAGAGGCTGGTTTTTTTATTGTAATTCTCTTCCTTCTACAAATGGTTTAAGCTAGATTTGATAATTTCCATTATGATTTCTGGGTTTTTTTTCCGGTATGCCTGATTGCTACTGAAATAAACAGGTTAAGTCATCACTGGAAGTTCCATTTTGTCCGAGCCCAGTGTTCTCTTGTCAGAATACCTCCAGCTTAAAGGAGGATTTCATTAACATATTTTCTCTGTTGACTGAGCAGGTTTCCTTTGGCATAAATTGACCTCAGCTGGTGTGGCATTTTGTTGGGAAAGATTTGTATCAATAGCAAAAATGTACAAAGCGATCATATTATTTTGTTAAAGTAGTTGGATTATATTTTTTTCAAAGTTGGATTCTAAACTTAATGATTCGTATTTTATTAGTTGGTTTTAATTCTCTTCAGCCGTTTGTTTCTCAGCCTTTCATTGTGATAACTTGTGGAGCCTGGTCACCCATTGAGTTTTGAAGAATTCTTTATACAGAAATTTAAAAAATCAACTAATTATTTTTAAATGGCAAATAACAAATTATATGTATTTGTTGTGTACAGCATGATGTTTTGAAACGTGTGTGTGGTGGAATGGCTAAATTGAGCTAATTAACATTTGTATTACCATTTTTTGTATCTATTCTCTTAGCAATTTTCAAGAATAAAATGTATTGCCATTAACAATAGTCTAGAATTTTAGTCTTTAGTGAGTTAATTAAATGAAGTGGACCATACAGAATGGAATGTAATTGTCAAGTAATTAGTTGAAAAATCTTAAAAGAAAGTAATTTTGGGTGGAGTGTGGTAGCTTGAGCTCAGGAGTTCAAGACCAGCCTGGGCAACATGGCAAAATCCTGTCTCTACAAATAATAATAATAATAATAAATATTGTTTTTTTTAAAAAAAGATATTTTTTCTTTCAGACTTTTGTTTGGCAGACTTAAAAAATCTTTTGTACCAAATAATGCTTTTGTAGAATTCTGGTAGTATTTTGAAGGAAGGATGGTTGGATGTTATGCACCTGAATTATTTATCTGTATTTTTGATAGTTCTTCTAGTTTAAGAATATTCATTCATACTTTTGTGCCCTAGACTAAGTGAGATTATTTTCTCTTAAAAGCCTAAACATTTACTGCTTTGTTTATTCTCTTCCATTATATACTTGTTCATTATATGTATTGCATATATTTGTCAATACTTCTGGTGGAAAAATGGATTTGGAAATCATATTTAAAGAATTTGGTTATAAATAACTGAGTCTTGGACGGTGTGCTAAACTGTGCCTCTGCTGACCTTCTCATAAACACCAACAGGTTTTGGGTCCTGCTCCTCGGTGGTGTTCCTTCTTAGACAACTTGACGGAAGAATTAGAAGAGAATCCAGAAAGCACAGTCTATGATGATTACAAATTTGTCACCAAGAAAGACCTTGAAAATTTAGGTAAAAAAAAATTGTGATAAAATGATTATGAAATTATTTATTTCTACCCTTTTTTTTTTTTTTTTTTTTTTTTTTTTTTTTTTAGATTTTTTCAGTTTTCAACATTCAGATTGGCTGAGCCATGTTTACCTCATCTCCCAAATCTTCCCTTTCTGCCAAATCAGATATTAAACATATTATAAATTGTCAAATTTGTAACCTTTCTCCTTAGAGAAAAGTTCAGGTAAATTTAACCCACTGAAGCTTTTTTGTACTTTAAATGAGAATTTATTTTAGCAAATAGTTTCTTTTAGCATACTAGCTATATAAAGGAAAAAAACTGTCATGAAAGCAGTGATTTTTTCCCCCAGTCCTATCTGGAGCGTAAGGTTTAAAAAATATCTCAGAGATGGCAAGTAAATGATTTCTGCCTTTCTTTTAGATATTGATTATAAAAGACCCAATCCAAAACTTAGAAGTGATACCAACTGGGATTTTTCCCCTAGTCCTATCTGAAGCATAAGGTTTTAAAAATATCTCAGAGATGGCAAGTAAATGATTTCTGCCTTTCTTTTAGATATTGATTATAAAAGACCCAATCCAAAACTGAGAAGTGTTATCAACGTTGAGGCCAGGCGCGGTGGCTCACACCTGTAATCCCAGCACTTTGGGAGGCCAAAGATAGGCGGATCACCTGAGGTCAGGAGTTTGAGACCAGCCTGGCCAACATGATGATACCCTGTGTCTACTAAAAGTACAAAATTAGCTGGGTGTGATGGCATGTGCTTGTAATGCCAGCTACTTGGGAGGCTGAGGCAGGAGAATCACTTGAACCTGGGAGGCAGAGTTGCAGTGAGCTGAGATTGTGACACTGCACTCCAGCCTGGGCAAAAAGAGTGAAACTCTGTCTT